TTCTATAGATGGATAAACAGAAGCAGGCTGGTCGTGGGCACAGGAGCTGCACCGGAGCCGACTGCACCCCCAACACCCAAGTCCACCCACTAAACCCTAAATCTCACTGCCACTTTGGCCAGGGTCACCCCTCCCTGCAGGGACCCAGGTGATTCCTCCTGCTCACTACCTGCGTAGCACTCTCTGCAGCACACAGTGGAAGTTTTTTCAAGAGCTGCTGATTTAGCTGCTTCATTTGACCACAGTAAGAAAGGTGCAAGAAGCAAATCCTCTTCTGGAGGCCAAGTACACTCCTTCCCATCAGTTCTCACCCTCCCCAACAGAAATTTATGGTGATGCTGCTCCTTTCAGACATAGAAAAAGTCTTCAATTTTCAAGGGTCAGTGGTGAACTGCAACCTGCTTTCAGCACCTGTGCTAGAGGGCCATTGTCCCAAATACAAGTTTTGCAAAGCCAAAAGCATCTACCAACATGTTCTTGCTGTGCAGGACTTCACTGCCTCCTGCTCATTCCCCCAGTAAAGCCTCTAGAGCAGTCCTCAGCACTGCAGCTCTGAGCATCACATATCTAACGACACAGCATTCCTGTTCCCCAGGTGCACATTTCTGTATCACAGCACATATAAAGCACCGATGCTGAATGTTTTACAGGGCTGTGCATTCTCTGGAGGATGCCATGTCTGTGACATAACATGATCTTACAGTTAGCTTTTAACTACACCCCGGGGCTTTGCAGGGATAGATGCGGCATCCCCAGTCCTCAGCAGCATTACAGATCATACCGTGAAAGTGGGCTAACAGAGTTAAAATTAGTCACTGCTGACCAGTCTAGAAAAACAACCCATTCCTTGGGGTCCTGCACACCAAACCTTCAAAATGTATATGCAAGGGTTAAAAATTTGTGAGGCACATTGGGAGGGGAGTGTTTTAGAAGAGAGAAGTTGCTATACATATTCAAGAGCGTCATTCAGTTCACCAGTATAAATATGAAAAGAAGAAGAAAAGCTGGTATCACAATCTTACTCCTACTGAAGAATTCTTCCTCTGTAACTACCTTTTGCATGGTCTTTATCCAGTTGATTGGCCACTTTCTTCCACTCTTCCATCTGTTCTTGAAGTGGGTTTATCAGACAGTCAATTAAAGCACTAATTTTGTTGAAAAAACACAAAGAGCAATCAAATCCTGCAGATGCCCCTATTCTTATAGAGAGAGAGCCAAGGTCAATATTGGAGTATTTTTACTTTTTGCTGCCACAGCTACCAGTGTCACAATGTAAATACCAGAACTTAAAAATGTTTACGCTGGAGAAAGCAAAAGAAAGGACTGGATCAAAAAAATCCACATCACAAGATAACCAGAATTACTGCGCAGAAGTTCAGGACAGTGGGGAACAGAGCGTAAACCAGAGGAGTGACCCAAAACGGGACCAATGTAAACAGTTAGATCCTACTCATCTGTTACACAGAGAGCAGTTTAAATGGATACTCCTAAGACTGAAAAGGCTCATGCAGCCATGAAGATTATAAACTTAACACATGTATATGCACAAGAAGACAGAGCAGTTGTACAAGTGAACAATGTCCTGCCCACCAATGAGCCTCACCTCTCACCAGTGGAGTCCATGATAGAGCACTAGTAATGCTCCACTAATTAATGAGATTGGGATCAAATCACTTAAACAGCTAACTCTGGGGTAACTAGAAACTAAAGTTGTCTCCTCACAGCCAATTTCACAAATGTCTTTATTTAAGAAAAAACAAAAATATCCCAGGTCATCAGGCAAATGGTGAAGCATAATTTTGGTTCACCTTAGGTCAAGTATATCTTTTAAGTCTGGTTAAAAAAGGCACATGTGCAAACTACTGCTTACTACAGAAGTACATTGTTTATGCATAGCCCAGTTTACACCCGAGTTAAACCTCTCCCACTACCTCTGCAGTCTAACTTTAACTGCAAAAACGGGGTGAAAGAATTTGCCTTTTCCATACTTGTTTCCTGAGAGCTTCTCTCTTGGCCATAAGCTATTTGGGCTCTCCAGTAAGCTGAGGAAACAGCACAACACTTACTGCTGATTTAAAACTTAGTGACAAAGCTTAGAGTCCTGAAACAAAGCCAGGTTGGTCACATCAGCAGCCACCTGCTCAGCACCAAGCAACAGGCACTGACTGTGGCAACTGGCGGCATTTAGCGTGATTTGAGATGACAAACCCAGTCCCCAGAAAATGCAGTGAAACGCTACACACTCACAACACCTAGTGTGCTGCGGGGGGGGGAACAACTGCTGTTCCCAGCAACAGGGTCACAGATCTGCTGGAAAGCCAATGCTGGTGAACAGCTTTAGGAGCTCCCCAGTAGCAAATGAAAAACAAACCTCGAGCTCCAGGCCAGGTACAGAGCTACTCACCTCGAGAACTGCCGGAGTTTGGATTCTATACTTCTGTGCCTCATACACATCCTGGTGAGAGCAGAACCAATCTCTCTGGTACCACCTGAAAAAGAAAACACGAGGCAGGTGAGACCCCGATGAGATTCCTGCCTGTGGTGTAGAGGCATGCCAAGCAGAAGGCAGGTGCCAAGCCAGAGCAACTGTAAAACAGATGCATAATAACTGTAGAATCGACCAGGCTATTAACCGGGCAGACCTCAGGGATATTCACCGCCTTGGGAAGAGATTAATTCTTGTTCATCCAGGGACCAGAACTGAACCACTAAACATGATTAAAACAGTTCTTCCCAGCAGCTTTATGTGCCATGAGACCCAACTCTGTGGCAGAAGAGTTAAAAGAAAAGGGCCTGAAGTGTCCAAAGACAAGAAGCAAAGCTGGCAAGTGAGTGGGCATCTATGGCCAGTTTACTTCCACATTTTGGAAATAAACCTAAGGGATTCAATCCAATTTTCCCATATTCTTTAGACCCAATGCCTCAAAACGATTTTGCTCCTCCAGAACATGGAACGAATCCTACATTGCCTCATACATCACTGACATGCCATCAGTGTATCAGACGCACCTGCCATCTCAGACCATGCATGTATTTTTCATTACATTGCCAGAAGGTGGCAATATTTGCTCTATACCCCCACTCATCTCGGCTTCTGACAACCACACGACAGCAACAGTAATTTTTTGCAAGTGTTCCTCCTGTGAACTTTTCCCTTTTAAAAGCATACATTCCTCCATTTTCCACTTTAATCAGCCTATTAAATTTAAATATAATTTTGTTGTGGTTAGTGTTACTTTTGATAATTGCTTAGTTCCTATTTGCAAACCAAATTTACTATTCTCAGGGTGCAAACATCAACCTTTATACAAAGCTTTTCCAAACTGTAGTATTCTCTTCAACGGTGAAGATATCAGCATCTATTTATAAGTCTCATTTGATTATTCAAATAACCTTAGACTCGTAATATATTGTAAAATATTTTCCTTAGGCTTTAAAAATGGCATTGCTCAAGTAGAAAATATTTTCTTAGTAAAGAAACCTGAAAATTTTAATCATTTTATTTATTTTTAAGCACAAAAACAAGTCACCATCTTCCTGCATTCTTACAGAATTAAATCCTGTGCCCACGAAACGGCTCTGGAACAAAGACACTAAATAACTGGAACAAACTGTGGCTATGTGGTATTTTCCATTGTTAAAAAAGATAAAAAGAAAGTCCTTTGTCACTTGCCAAATTACTCATGTTTTTATAAGGAGCTTTTGAAATAATATTATTTGGTCACACTGAAGAGCTGCAGCCTCGCTACGTGCAGGCAGCTGGGAAAAGCATACGGACTCCAGCCTGGACCTGGACCCATCTCTTCTGGTGACGCTGCACTCGCACAAGCTGCGATAGAGTCTGGTAACTCAAAAAGCAATACAGAAGACAGGGAAAGGCGTTAACGGAGAGAAAGCAACTGGAGGAAGAGGACAATGTCCACAATAAAAAGTGGATCTCTGTCCCAAAACATGGGCATTTTTCTCTGGAGTCACTGCCTAATAAAAGGAACTTGGAGCCTAATGTGGCACAACTCCAATGGCAGAGGATGGAGAAATGAACCAAACATTTCCACGGCCATCGGCAGAGCAATTCCCAATTGAGTTTAAGCAAAAGGCAGGTTTTTCAGGTTGCAAACTCACTGAAATCCTGGAATATTAAGGACTGTCGATGATTAAGTGGCATTGCTTTCCTAAGCCCACTATAAGAAAAAAGAAGAGTCACTTCAGAAGAATAAACAGGAAATAGGGCACCATGTGTTTTGCAGACTAGGAAACAAGGGTCAGTTACTATTAATATTAAATTCCAAGGTAACAAAACTTTAACTGAAACCCCAATAAGCAATGTATAAATACATCCCCTCGACACATGGCACAGATGGATGGGCAAAGTCAGCAACACAGCTATACAGAGTTAGGTCTATACATTTGTAGTTGTACTTGTTTAAAAAAAACACACACAAAAATAAGCCTGGAATAAAAAGGTTATTCCATGGAAAAAAACCTAACCCAGCTGGTTGGGAATGAGTGGGTTACTGGCTCTTCCCACCTTTTCAAACTTCATGTTATCCGTAAGTGTGTACAAGAGCATGGAATTATGAGGTGTTAATTTTATTCTGTGAATAAAGACTACTCTAACAAAGCTAAGGAAAAAGGAAAAAAACGGTTTTGAGACATTTTTAATGCCCCTTCTGGAAACAAGGTGTTGCAGAAGACGGGTTTAGGAGCCTGCTTGGGAAGAGGAATGAGGGGCACTGCTGGAAAGCCTGGGGGGGCTGAGCCGGTGCCCCGTCTCGCTCAGCGCCGAGCCGGGGAGGGCTGCGCGGACCAGGCTCCATTGCACCGTCCCGTGCCGAGGCGTGCAGGGAGCCAGACAGCGCTGGCGAGGGTCAGCGAGGGGATCGGAGCTGCCCAAGCAGCAGCGCTTGCCAACCAACCATTCGTTGAGAAAGGTGCTGCTCAGCCCTTCCTAAAGAGCGTAAATCCCTCCCAAGCAGCACTTAAATTAATTTTGGCACTCACTCGATTAGCAGAGGCAGGAACGGTGTCCAAGCGTCCCTACACACCCACCTAGGTGAAACAGTCCATGGAGGTACGGAAACCCCTCGTGGAGAGTTTCTGGATGCCGGAACAGCAGCAGCAGCATTTTGGAAAGCATCACCTCCTCTGATATGCCTTTTGCATTTTGGGGGTGCCTCAGCAACCCCTCGTTAAAAATCAGCCACCAGACTGATGGAAGGACAGTACCAGCCCAGCATCTCCCACGCCTGAATCCCACCGCTCCTACTCAATATATTAAGTACTCTAACAGCACTGGAGTTAAACGGAGCTTTGCCTCCCTGTTCCCAGCTATATTATCTGGGAAGAATCAAAATGCTTCCTGTGAAGGCAAAAAAAGCTAAATACAGGCCTGTCGCCACCCCTTGATTTATTGAGTTGGAGCAGCACGGCCATGATGGATGCATTCAGCAGTCTTTCCAGGAACAGTGCAGTGCAGAGGGTTTATCTCAACTGCCAGCAGGTCTCTGCAAGGGCTGGTTCCCGCCAGCAGAACTGCACCGATGCTCCTGTTTCCAAAGGGCCAGGATCAGCTGGCTATATAAAGTGGCAGAAGGGAAACACTTTGCCCGACTGCAGTGGTTTGAAAACGTCCAAACATAACAAGGGACAGCAGTTTGGATTTGCTTCTTTGACCCTATCTCAGCCAGACAGCCTCAATGAACAGGAGTAACATATGCTCTACACAAATTACCTTTCGATGTTACAGTAGTAGCTTACTCACAAAAAGAGTGGGTTGCCAACAACCATACTCTACAAACAGAGACGGACCTTACAAGCAACATTAACATGTGTGCAAGTCCTGGTATTGGCTATGTAGCTGAGTATTCAAAATCTGGTGAGAAGCTTATTGTACTGGGCTATGCCACAGTCATCCAAAGCCTGCTTCAGCCTCCACATTAACTTACGGTTTATCTTTTCAAAAAGACCAGCTCCACAAGTGACGAACTGCCCACTTACTCAAGGACAGAGCCATGAGCCAGGTGGGCAGAAGATCAAGTGGAGATAACTCCTTTTTCAGTGCTATCAACCCACAGTGGTGGCAAAAAGAGCATCTGAAACCGAAGTGAGTCAGGAGCATGCCGAAAGCACTGCCCGTCTCCTCTTCACTTCCAGGCAGGTCCCTGGTAAAAAGTCACGACATTCTCCAGTAGCTATTTCCTGAAGAAAATTACTGAGGACACGTTAGCAAGCTGTTCACCAAACCAACAGTACATTGGGTGGGTGACCTGGGCTCCGTTCACCGCTCTACAGCTATGCAGGTTAAACTACTGTGCCTTGGGCTCTCAGTTTATAAAATGAGGCTGTGAATTATCTGCTTCTCTGACATACTACAATAATTCATCCATTATGGCAAACAATGCTTGGGAACGGTGTAAAGTAATACTTTGAAACCAGAGATGAGAGCAATATTCATCAGAATTCCCGCTCAGAGAAAGTGGCTTAACAAAATGCTCCTGTCAAATTTGATTAGAAAGTGGGTGATAACATCAGCCTTATTTCTCGTAAGTAAAAGGCAACTCTGCAAGGCAAAACGTGCTTTTGCTCTCACCTTCCCTGCTTCTCCCTATTCCTGCCTAAGCCTGCAAAAGACCAAAATCCTTTTTCATGCAAGCTAATTAAATGAAAGCCTGTGGACCACAACACTACAATGAGTTGGCATGAATCATTTTTTTTCGATGCTTGCTTGTCATTCAACATTGCAGAGAGACAACAGGGAGAGCTTGTAGGAGACTCTATTGTTTTATAGAAGTCATTATGTTTGTACTTGATGATCATATAGCAAGGAAATGATTATTTGATGAAATGTGCAGCTGTACAGCTGCATGGCCTCTGTATACTCCAAACAACCCACTACAATCAACCTCTTCTCTTCCTCCTCTCGCTTCGCTGTTGAGCAACCCCAGAAGGCTCAGAAGATGACTGCCTTTCACAAAGTGCCTTTAAGGCTCCAACTTATTAACAAACTCATCTTTATCTTCAAGGGCAGAGTCCAAATGTGCCAGCTACTTCCCTCTTTCCCAAAACGGAGAGAATGATGAAAAATGGGTGTAATACTTGTGTAATTTTAAAGTTATCAGAAGAGGCTTCCATTTTCAAGCAAAGATTAAAGCAGGAGCAGAACAGAGGCTAGGTTATTAAATACAAATCCGAACGCGGAGGCTATGACAGGATGACTAACAGTAGGACATTTTAAGTTAACGGTCATTACTCAACCCTCATCCAAACTCACGCTGTTAGAAGAGCAAGCAGTTTCCATCACTGATCACATGGGGCATGGACCTTGATCTTGCAAAACTGTTTATGCGGATGCCTCCGTGAAACTCAAGGATGATGGGATCAGTGCCAGGGTGTTACAGCAGACAGGGGAAAAAACGGAGGGCTTTTGCCTAAAAGTGACCAGCACAGGGTTTGTAAGCATTATCACTGGGACAGAAGCCTGAAAGTGGAG